ACCCTTGAGTGGTTCTAGTTATCTGGAGTAATCACTCTTTTTTTTTTTTTTTTGCTTTTTGGATCACACCCAGCGATTCTCAGGGGTTACTCCTGGCTTTGCACTCAGGAATCACTCCTGGCGGTGCTCAGGGGACCATATGGGATGCTGGGAATTTAATCCGGGTCGGCAGCTTGCAAGGATAACACCCTACCCTCTGTGCTACTGCTCCAGCCCCCGGAGTAATCTCTTTAGATGAGATTTTATCCTTGAGTTAATCTCCTGGAGGAGTGGTTTTACCCCCCCTTTGTTGATTTGTCAACCCACCTTTGTGTCATCACCCTCGTGATTGCTACATAAACTAAGACTATGAGAGCGGAGGGGCAGAGTCAGATCCAGAGGCCAGAAGGAGAATGAGAGGGGAGCAAGAAGGAGAACGAAGGGGGCTCAGTCTTGAGAGAGAAAAGCAGAAGGGGAGTGGAGATTGGAATAAACTACAGTTGATACCGACCAGTCTGGCCCTTGTTCCTTCCTTCGCCTACCTCACCTTCGTCCTCCCCGGGGTGGAGTAAGTGGCCCGAGACCACTGAACGCAGGCGGCAAGAGAGATAGAGTGCTGCCGGCCTCTTGAAAACACACATCTGGTTCCCTTTTGAAAACTTTTAATTTTTCAGGGAACCTCCAAACAGTTTTCCACGGTGGCTCCCTCATGTGGACTTTTGCAAGAATGCAGATTTCTGGGCTCCTTGTTGGCCCACTACAGACGCTGTGTGTGGAGGGAGGGGCCCAGAAATACGTGTTTTTATTATTTAGAGGGATTTAGGGGTTCATATCTAGCAGTGCTCAGGGCTTCCTGATGACTCTGTGCTCAGGATCACTCCTGATGGGGCTTGGAGCACCCTCTGGTGCCAGTGATCAGATCCACATTGGCTACGTGCCAGACAAGCGCCTTCCCCGCTGTACTGTCTCTCCCGCCCCAAGAACCTATATTTTGTTTGTTAGTTTTGTTTTGAGGGGTCACAGTGTCAGTCCAGTTCTGTGGTCAGGGGTCATTCCCGGCAGTGCTCAGTGCTCAGGAGACCATATGGAGTGCAAGGGATCAAACCCTGGTCTGCCTCGTACAAGACAAATGCCTTAATTGCTATACTGTTGCTCTGGCCCCAGGACCTTTGTGTTTGGGGTGAGGGAGTTGGTTTGGGGGCCACACTGGTGATACTCAGGGCTTACTCCTGGCTCTGCATTCAAGAATTACTGTTGGCGGGTCTCAGGAGACCATATGGGAAGCTGGAGATCGAAGCTGGGTCAGCCACCACTAACCAGCACCCACTTGGATGAGTGCCCTACCCGTTGTAATGTCTCTCCAGCCCCCAGGAACCTGTATCTTAAGGCCCGTTTTGCAGGGTCAGATACGAAATTATTGTTGAATTGTTGCCTGACCACCCTAGACACTTGACCAAATACCTTTGTTCGGTTAACTAAGTAAGATTCTTTTTGAAACAATAAGGCATGTACTGCTTACATAATCAAAACCCTATGTAAACTGCTTGCTGCCTGAAGTCGGGGTTGCTAAGCAGAGACCACTCTGTGGGTGAGATAGTTGACCCCAGTATACTGGAATCAAACTTCTACTGCTTTTGTATTATCATGTTCGTGTCTCTGTCTGTCTGGCCGGTTGGGAACCCAGAATCCTGGGCTTAACACACTGTTTAGCATATTTAACGAAAGCCATCTCAGGTTCTCCAAGGAGGCAGCCCCAGCAGCAGGGGAAGGGACCCGTCTCCCATGCCAGGGACCTGCCACCCTCTGCACCTCCAGATGTGGGTTCCTGGTGGACATAAAGAAGTTAGCCCAGGTGAGAATTGACTCCAGGGCTGGGCAAAGAACACCCCCCCCCCAGACTGTGTTTGGGCAAAATCTTGGGGTTGACCGAAATGCATGCTGATAGGCCAGAGGGAAGACTCGAGGAGTTTGGGAAGGGGCATGGGCTTCATGCATGGGTTGAACAGAACAGGGGCCGGAGGTTATTTGCTTGCACACAGCTGACCTGGGTTCGATCCCCAGCACTCCACATGGTCCCTGAGTCCACCAGGAATGATCCCTGAGTGCAGAGCCAGGAGTCAGCCCTGAACACTGCTGGGTGTGGTCCCCAAACAAAAATAAACAGAAAGAAACAGTTTATGGGATTGACTTGGAAGCAAATTTAGCCTTGTCTGGGCGATTCCAAGAGGGAAGGGAGGGGGTGGGATCCCGGCAGTAGTGAAGTCAGTGGGCCCCCATGTGTGGTTTATGTGAGGCGGGGAGGAGAGAGACAGCCACTTTCTCCTGATCCGCCTCTGCTATCCTAGGACCCGCTGGGAAGATGAGGACTGATAAAATCTGTGATGAGCCCCTGCTCGGCATGGGCTTGGGCACCGCCAGCCCCACAAGGTGGCTGTCAGGCCATACCTGAAGTCTGCTTGGTCTTCTTGGCACGGGAGTCAATCCCCGCCACCCGATTTCTCAGGAAGCCACAGAGTCAGGTTGGAATGAGGAATTGCTCTTTGCAGGAAAGGAAGGTCAATCCTAGGTCTTACCCGAGGTTAAGGGCTTTTGTCTCACCTCTCAGAAAGTAATTTTAGGAGGGAGTATGATGCTGTCAGCAGGTCAACCTGTACCTGTGGAGCAAGTGCATCAATAGTCTGTTGGTGCCTTCAGACTTCCAGATACCCCAAAATTGCTGCTGTGCCTTTGGCCAGATCCCTACAACTTGGGGCCAAGTTTGCCAAGAAATTTAACAGTCAAGATTTAGGTATGTGCAAGCCACACCCACAAACCATCTCTGGCTCAGCTTAATAAGCTCATTTGTTGGCCTTATTTCACAGACCCATAAATCTCGAAAGAGATTGAAAGATGCAGCTAGGGCCGGTGGTGCTGGTGTGGAGGTAAGTGGGAACCCGTGACTGAGATCTCCAAGTCCACTTGGATCGGGACTGGGCCTCCTCCCCCCAGGTCCCCAGTTGTCCAGTAGCTTGGCAGTCACACACACAAACTGCCCCCAGCGCCATGTAATCTCATCAATGACCAAGACCCAAAGACTATAAACTAAACTCCCGGAAGAGAGCGACACAGAATTTTCTGGACATTATATTCTATCCATAACAAGCAATACAAAACAAATCATCTAGCATTGCCTTTTTGGCAGGTTTGAGTGGTGATGGGACTGGTGTTGAAATATCGAATGTCTCCAAAGTAGAGAGAGAGTATGGGGGAAATTGTCTACCACACAGGTAGGGGAAGGATTGGAACCGGAGGGTGGGAGTGGGGGGAATACTAAGGATTTTGGTGGTAGAAAATGTGAACTCGTGAAGGGAGGGGTGTTGCATGATTGTATGACCGAAGCTCAAACATGAAAGCTTTGTAACTGTATCTCACGGTGAATCAATTGAAAGGGGGAAAAAATTAAAAATTAAAAAAGAAAGAATTTTAGGAGTATACAGTGAAGTAAAACAGATTTTAGTTGGAGATTTTGGAAGGTGAGGAGGGAGGGAAAGAGAGAGAGAGAGAGAGAGAGAGAGAGAGAGACAGACAGACAGACAGACAGACAGACAGACACAGACAGACAGACGGAGAGACAGAGAGACACAGAGAGAGTGTAATGCGCTCAAGAGAGAACACAGGCTTTTCTAAAGGCGGAGAGAACTTTGAATGGGTTTTTAGTCTGGAATATTCTGGAGTTCTGAAATGTTCTGGAATGTTCTGGAGTCTTCTTTGGACTGAATTGCAAAGGTCAATCAGATTAAGGAAGGGGGTTAACGGTTTTGAGGATTTTCCTTCAGGGCCTTTCTGTGGGGAGGGATCTGCTGCTGCTGAAGGTCTTATTTGATCTTGTTTACTGTACCCACAAGATGGATCAGCCTTAGACTTCCCAGAAATGTCATTGGAAACCTAAGTGATTTTATTACCTAGAAAGATCATTGCCATGGGCCTTTCCCTATCTATCTGCCTACCTACATTCCTTGTAAATGCCAGCTCTGTGCTCAGGGATCACATCTGTGATCAGGTATGTCTGGTGCATGGCCAGGTGGTCTTAGAAGGGGGGTTCTAAACACTGTTGACCACAGGTGGTCTCTGCCTGCCTTTCACTCAGAGAAACAAAGTAACATATTTGTCTGCTTCTGAAGCAAGACTGGGATCCAACGGACCAGATGTGTGTGTAAATGAGTATGAGTGTGTGTGAGTGCAGGAATGTGAATGTCGCTGCTCAGGGATGTGTGAGTGTGTGTGCACAAATACAAACTACTCAGGGTCTGGAGCGGTAGGACGGCTGGGAGGATGCTTGCCTTGCACACAGCAGACCCGGGTTCAATATTTGGCATCTCACAGGGTCCCCCGAGCATCACCAGGAGTGATTCCTGAGTGCAGAGCCAGGAGGAAGCCCTGAGCACTGCCGGGTGTGGCCCCAAAATACAAGCTACTGTGTGTGTGTGTGAGTGTGTGTGTGTGTGTGTGTGTGTGTGTTTGTGCTTCAGCATAATTCTTTCAAACTGGAGACTCTCTTCTACACTTTCACAGACCCTTTTGCCAAGAATCATTCCTTCTGCAATAACATCTGTTACAATTCTTTTTTTTTTTTTTTTGCTTTTTGGGTCACACCCATCGATGATCAGGGGTTCCTCCTGGCTCATGCACTCAGGAATTACTCCTGGTGGTGCTTGGGAGACCATATGGGATGCTGGGAATCGAACCTGGGTCGGCCGTGTGCAAGGCAAACGCCCTAACCACTTTGCTATTGTTCCAACCCCACATCTGTTACAATTCTGAACCAATGATTTCCTTGGATTCAGCTCCACATGCTGTGAAACTGCATTTCTCGGCCATCACGATAGTTTCCTGGGAGCATCAGGGACCCCTCCCAGCTGCCGTGGGCCTCGTCCATCTCCCAGACTAGGGTGCTCGGGGCACATGTGTCTCAGTGAACCTGCCCAACCTTGCCCCCCTCCCCCCAAAGGGGGACAAGAACAGGCAAGGTCAACCTTCAAAGGAGCAATTCTCTTTTATTTGGGGTGCTATTTGAGAAGAGCAAACACACTCTTGTTGCGCTGCAGAGCCAGGGATGGAACCCAGGGCATCACTCGGGGTGAGCTCACAGGCTCCCCCCGCGGGGCTGCACCCCAGGCTCTACTGTTTATAGTCCTTACATTTAAATCACATCTCACGCAGAGGGAGAGAAAACAAAACAAAACTGGGCTCTTGGACCTAAACACCCTCACCCCATCTTCCTCTCACTTAAAATGGAGTGTGTGTGTAGGGGTGGGGTCCCAGCTTTCAAACCAGGACAGGTCTTTGTCACCATAGCAGCCTGGACTAAGCAGGGGTCAGGAAGCAGAACCTCCCCCCCAAACCCCAATGCCCTTACCCAGGAATTCAACACCCCATCAGCCCAGCCCAGCTCTGAACCAAAGCCCAGGAGCACCTGCAGTGTGCACTGTTTCCCAGAGGGTTCAAACCGAGTCGGAAACCCGCAGAAAGGCCCTCCAAGTTAGCTGGGTTTTATTCACTTATGGAGGGGCAGGGGTGGGGGTGGAGGTGGGCGGAGAATGGAGTTAGAGCAGATGGCTGAAAAGGGACCACCCTGGAGCATCCCTAGCTCCCCAGAGAGCACAGCTGTAGAAGGGTCCCACCTACAGACATGCAGAGAGAGCATGAGTGCTGGTGGCCGGCCCCAGGGCCTGCTGCGGTAGGGAGGGCCTGAAGAAGCAGGCACAGGCCAGGGAGCGTGAAGGGTGCGCCTGCAGCTGGAACACCATGGACCTGAGTCTGGAGAAGGCCCAAACCCAGCTCAGGAAGAGATTGTAGAGCTGGCCCAGATCCTTCCAGAACCTTCTTCAGTCCAGGGAAGGCCAGGAGCCCAGCTGCACGGGCAGACGTCCCTGACCGGCCTGTCCTCCATATAGAGACACTGAGAGCAGGAACGGGGCCTCTCGGGAGCAGACCCCAGTCAGGACAGGACAGCCTTGCTGGCAGGACGCCTGCGAGAGGGCCTTCTGGTGTCCACAGGCCTGGTCCTCGCGGCCACTTTTTTCTGCCTGGCATCCAGTTTCTTCATGTATTTCTGTACCCACGGAAGCTTGGGGTTAGCACAGAGCTTCTGGCCCTTCTTGTTGGTGAATCTGTTGGAGGGAGAACAGGCCGCCCTTGTGACCCCAGGACGGAGAGAGGGGGGGTGGATGTCCAAGGGACGCAAGTCTGTTTGCCCAATGGCAGAGGTCTGTCCCCCTATCGAATGGGAGAGGCCCTGTCATGGGCAAAGCTGGACAAGAAGGGAGAAGGCGGGGCTGGAGTGATAGCACAGTGGGTAGGGGTTTGCCTTGCACGTGGCCAACCCGGATTGATTCCCAGCATCCCATATGGTCCTCTGAGCACCGCTAGGAGTAACTCTGAGTGCAGAGCCAGGAGTAACCCCTGAGCATTGCCAGGTATGACCCAAAAAGCAAAAAAATTTTAAAAAAGAAGGGAGAAGGAACCCCTCAATCTCCAGCCCCCTGGGAAGAAGGGGTCATAGGAAAGGCATTAAGACCCCCAAGACTAAAAAGGAAAAACAGGTGGTTGCCTTCCGTTCAGGGGGTGTGGCCACAGGAATTCCCTGGGAGCTGGTTCTCACTGAGGGTGCCACGGCGGCCATGCTCACTCACCACGCAGCAAGAGGTGGCAAAAGGGGGCCTGGGAGGCTGGAGTGATAGCACAGCAGGTAGGGCATTTGCCTTGCACATGGTCAACCTGGGTTCGATTCACAGCATCCCATATGGTCCCCTGAGCCCCGCCAGGAGTAATTTCCGAGTGCAAAGCCAGGAATAACCCCTGAGCATTGCCGGGTGTGACCCAAAAAACAAAAAAAAAAGGGGGGGAGGGTCTGGGCCCTCAGTGTCCTGCCCTCTGATCTTTCCCAGCCCCTGTGGGCACACCGCCCTCACCCCCAACACTAAGCATGGCCTCTTGGCGAGAACCTGCACTGGAACTCGCCCAAGGAGGAGGAAAAAGAGGCAGAGGGCGGGGCAGTGGCTTCCCGGGAGCCGGGAGCTGGTCTGGGCAGTCCCAACCCTCCCCGAGGTTCCCGTAGGGTCTCACATCACGCCTTCCTTGGGACAGACGCTTCGGCTGACCAGCTGGTAACTTGCCACTTGGTTCTGCGGAATCTTCTTGGGAATGAAGGACAAGCAACAAGAAGAGGGAACCCTCAAGGTACCTAGGGTGGGTGTGAGAAGGGCAGTGTCCTTTCCCAGTTCCACCAGCACCGACCCCCGCCCAAGCACCCCTCCCGCCAGGCACCCACCCTGCAGAGCTGGCTCACCTGCAGGAACCGCGTGGAGGGCGCAGAAGGCCAGGAGCAGGAGGCCGGTGGCCAGGCTGCAGGGTCCCGCCATGTCTTCAAGCACAGGAGGCAACTCCCGGCTCTGCACTGGGGTGCAGAAGGAGAGGGTCCGGCTCCTACTGAGTCCCTCAACCTCCCTCTGCCCTTTATAGGGGTGGGGAGGCGGGAACGTGGGGTAACCACACCCCCGCCCAGGCTTCCTTGAAAGCCTCAAGCCTCTGAAAGGGGAAGTGCTTACTCAGCTGCCAGGATTCCCTGGACGCTCTAAGAGTGTGTGTGTGTGTGTGTGGGTGGGCGGGTGGGGGGGGGGGGACCCCTCCTGACCCAAAGCTCCAGCTCCCCTGGGGATCCCAGTTTCATCCCTTGCCTCTCTGAGACTCAGTGTTCAAGAGAAACGGTCATGTCCACGACCTCGTCCTCCACACATTCGCTCATCCATTTGTTCAACAATGTCTATTGGGGGCTGGAGGGTGGGAGGGAAATTGGAGACCCTGGTGGTGGGAAATGTTTGGATTTCAGCCAGGTAATGTCCTCCCAATGAAGGGACATTACCTGACTGAAACCCAATGCTGAACAACTCTGCAACGGTGTATCTCACCGGGATTCAGTGAAAAAAGCAAACCAAGGCTTCTGGGCCCTTGGGGAAGCCCATGCTTGTGTTACTAAACTCTCTTCCACTTTCTCTCCCTCCTTTCCCTTCCTAAAAAACTCCAAATAAAATCTGTTTTATCTCAAATTTAAAAAAAATAAATTTAGAGGGCTGGAGTGATAGTACAGAGGGTAGGGCGTTTGTCTTGCACGCGGCCGACCGGGGTTCGATTCCCATCATCCCATATGGTTCCCTGAGCACTGCTAGGAGTAATTCCTGAGTGCAGAGCCAGCAGGAACCCCTGTGCATCGCCAGGTGTGACCCAAAAAGCGAAAAAAAAATTTTTTTAAAAACAAAACCAATAGGGCTGGAGCGATAGCACAGCTGGTAGGGCATTTGCCTTGCATGCAGCCGTCCTGGGTTCGATTCCCTGCATCTTATATGGTCCCCCAAGGACCGCCAGGAGTAATTCCTGAGTGCATAAGCCAGGAGTAACCCCTATGCATGCCGGGTGTGAATCCCCCCCAAAAAAAGAAAAAAAATGTTTTGAAATAAGGAAACAAAACCAAAGCCCAATGTCTGCTGGCTTTGTTGGGGGCAGGGGGGTCACAGCTGAGGGAGTCTGGGGAGCACTCCCAGCCGAGTGCTCAGGGACTCGGTAGGTGGTAGGTCTTGGGGGGATCATGTGTATTGGGGATAGACCTGGGGGTCTCAGCTATGTCTCAGCCCTTGGATTCTCTCGTCAGCCTGTTCCTTGGACTGTTCTTATCTTGAATTGCCGTGCACCAAAATCCCAAGACAGGGTGAACATGAGTGGGTCCAGCTGCTATCACTGACTGTCCTTAACCATGACCCTGGGCCTGGGTGGCCTCGCATTACCCCCTGCCAGTCCCCAACCCCATGCTGGGACCTCTTCAGGCTCCAGGATAGTGGATAGAGCTGGTAGCAGACGCCTCCCCAGGACGCGCGCCTGGGCGCCCCGCAGGGTCCCGAGGCACCCTCTACCTGCTCGCTGGCGCCTCCTGGAGGCAGGTTTTGCTCACCCCGTTGCTTCTGCTCCTGGGACATCCCCTTTGGGAGCCGCAGACTTGTGGGGGCACGCTGCCCTGGAGCAGGGGTCCCATCTGTGGTTTGGGAGGGAGCTCATGGGTGCTTGCACAACACAGCGCTGGGGGACTGAGAGAACTCACAGGACAGAGCGAGACTGGGCACCCTGGAGTCCCCATTCAGAGACGCAGCCTTGGCCTCCCTGTGCCCTGCAAGCGCAGGCATCTCCCCGAAGACGGCCAGCGGGGTCTACGTCTCCCCACACGCAAACTCCAATGCCTGTCCCATGGCCAGTGTAAGGGACGATTCTAGAAGCGACCAACTCTCAACTCTGGGTCCCTCTCCTTGCACCAGGAACATCAGGGATCAAGATGTGCACGGAGGGCCCGTCAGTCAGTCCTCCAAGGCCAGAGAGGCCTGCGGACCCCGCCGCCCATAGTCCCTGCTCATCCTGCCTCTCACCACAAAGCAGAGCAAGTCTTTCACCCCTCTTTGCCCCTTAGAAGCAGCTTCTCCTTCACACAGACGTACAGAGGCCCGTGGCAGTGCAGGGGACCTGGAGAGAGATGCGAGTGGAAGGAAGTTCAGTGCAAAGAGGCCAGGCCTGGGACGCGTGCAGGAAAGTGGGGCTAGGCTTCGTCGGGAGCATGGCGCAAGGAGACACACTCGGCGTGTTGTAATTGGGCTGTGGGGGAGGCAAAGGTCACTGTGTGGGAGGGCTTGGAGTGAGGCATTCCCCGCCTTCCATTAGTAAGATTGTGGGAAGCTTCCCCAAAGCCCTTTAAGAAAACAGTCAAGAGACCGGAGAGGTACAGAGGTCAAGGCACTCGCCTTGCATGCAATAACCCGGGTTTAATCCTTAATGCATCATAGGGTACGTTGAGTGTTAATGGGAATGAACCTTGACATAAAGTCGGAGTAAGCCCTGAGACCCACTGGATGTGGGGGAGAGAGAGAGAGAGAGAGAGAGAGAGAGAGAGAGAGAGAGAGAGAGAGAGAAAGGAAAGAAAGGACAGAGTGATAGTGCAGTGAATAAAGAGCTAGTCTCGCATGTGGCCAACCCAGATTCGATCCCCAGCACCCCATATGGTGCCCTGAGCATCACCAGGAATGATCCCTGAGTGTAGAGCCAGGAGTAAGCCCTGAGCACCACCAGATGTGAGAGACAGACAGCAAGAGAGGCGGGGGCTGGCGGGAACAGAGGGAAAGAGGGGAGGGGGGAGACCCAGGTGATGCACCCCCTGGGGAAGAGGTAAAACAAGATTAGCAGCATTACACAAAGGAAAACTAAACCCTAAAACTAAACCCTACGAAGAATGACACGATTCTGAGCCAGAGCTCCTTATCCCAGCTCCCAAAATGGGATTCTGCCCCTCTCCGGTCTGGGAGGTTGTGGGGACTAGACTCACAGCCAGAGTGACCATTCAGAGTATGAGTAAAGGGACTCGATTGAAGCAATATGACAACTGGTAGGGCACTTGTCTTGGATATGTCCAGCCTGGGTTTTCATCCCTGGCACTCCATATGGTCTCCCAAGCCCCGCCAGGAGTGACCCCTGAACTTAGAACCAGAAATTGCCTCTGAGTAATGCCATAGGATGTGACCCCTAAACAGAACGAATGCAAAAACAAAAGAAGTAACTTCAAATATCTCGAGACATGTCACTGTCACTGTCCTCCCGTTGTTCATCAATTTTCTTGAGCGGGCCCAGTAATGTCTCCATTGTGAGACTTTGTTGTTACTGTGTTTGGCATATTGAATACATCATATCACGGGGAGCTTGCCAGGCTTTGCCGTGCGGGCGAGGTAGCTTGCCAGGCTCTCTGAGAGGGGCAGAGGAATCGAACCCGGCTCAGCCGGGCCGGCTGTGTGCAAGGCAAACGCCCTACCGCTGTGCTATCACTCCAGCCCATCTCAAGACATGGGCTGGAGATACAGTACAGCAGGTAGGGCACTTGCCTTGGATGCAGCCAAGCTGGATTTGATCTCCAGCACCCCGTATGGTCTTCCCAACCCTCCAGGAGTGATCCCTAAGCACAGAACCAGGAGTGAGCCCTGAGCACTGCTGGGTATGGACCAAACAAATAACTCAAGATTATTCCAGGGCTGGAGCGATAGTACAGCGGGTACAGCGTTTGCCTTGCACACAGACAACCTGGATTCAATCCCTGGCACCCCATATGGTCCCCCAAGTGCCACCAGGAGTGATCCTGAGTGCAGAGCCAGGAGTAACCCCTGAGCATCACCGGGTGGGACCCAAAAAGAAAAAAAAATAAGATATGTGATTCGTCAGCAGGTGTGATGGGAAGGGACCGGGGACAGGTCATTGACCCTGGGCTCAGCGTCAGGAAACTGGAGAGCTCAGCTGGACTTTACTGGGAACACTGGAAGAACAAAGAGCTGCAGCTTCTGAGGTGTCTTCCCTAGGGTTGGGAGTTGGGATCATCTGCAGGTTACCTAAGGTCACTGCTTTTGTTTTGTTTTGTTTTGAGGCCATACCTGGTGATGTTATGGGCTTATTCCTGGCTCTGTACTCAAGACTTACTCTGGGGGGCTTGGGGATCATATGGGATGCCAGAGATTGAACCTGGGGTTACTGTGTCCAAGGCCTTACCCGCTGTGTTATCGTTCTGGCCCTTAAGGTCACTTTTTTTTTTTTGCTTTTTGGGTCACACCCGGCGATGCACAGGGGTTACTCCTGGCTCTGCACTCAGGAATTACTCCTGGCAGTGCTCGGGGGACCATATGGGATGCTGGGAATCGAACCCGGGTCGGCCATGTTGGCTGCGTGCAAGGCAAACACCCTACCCGCTGTGCTGTTGCTCCAGCCCCCAAGGTCACTTCTTGATGGTCAGTCCTTTATCCATATTTGCCAGCCTCTCCCTAAAGCCTGAGATGACATGCTTGTAGCCGTAGCCCCATAAAATGGAGCATGGTCATAAGTGGGGAGAGTATCTGCTCGGCCCTCATCCACTCTCCCCACATCACTAGACACCCTGCCTTAGCGTCTGGGTCCTCCCCCAGGAGAAGAATGATGGCCACTGTCTCGGGGGCCACTGTTCACTTTGAGAAAAAAGATTCATGGCCAGAGCTTGGCTTATGACCTGCCACAGACAAGCCAAGGGACAAGCCCCCTCCCAACGAGACCTTTCATTCTTCGGTGGGTTATTTTTTTATATAACCAGTTGAGTTACTGAACCCCTGGATGAGTTGATTAAATGTGTTGCCTGTGACTTAAGTGTTGTAGAACCCCAAAGGAACTACTATTAATCCCATGGAACTGGTCGGTGAAGTAACGTCACACAGTTCCTGGCCCCCCCACCTCCAGCCTGCACCTCCAAACTGGAACCATTCTGCAGGATTTCTAAGATGGGGTTGAGGGGAGTGAGGAGAGAAAGGTGAGCAGAGGGCCTGGAGCAACAGTACAGCAGATGGGGTGCTTGCCTTGCACGTGCAGAACCCAG